AATTAATATACCCTTTCTACTTTCTTTGGTGGTATCCAACAGCTCAAAGGCACCAATAAGGGTCGATCGTGATATCTGTCAACCCAGGACATCGCTTGTTCTACCATTACATTCAAAAATTGACTATTTGTTGCTGTAAAAAAAAAAAAAAAAAAAACATTCACATTTTATTATTCATTCAATTATGCAGCTTATTATTACAGTATATTTATCATTTAAATATAATTTTGTAATGTTACCATAATTATACTCTTATTTTCTTCCCAATTCTTTTTTCATAAATTAAAATATAATAAATATTGTGATTTTATTTAAAGTAATAATAATGGTAACAATAACAATAATTAGTGATAATGATAATAAACAAATATAATATCAATGATAATGATGGGAATAATAGTAGTGATATAATAATGAAATTGCAAATTTTCTCATACAAATAACTAGGAGTTAACCTTGCGTATACTGTAATCTATTGATCAGTTCAGCAGCCAATTGATCACGATCACGTATAATTGTGTTTAATGAAGGACATATAATCTGTTGAAATAGTACCTAAATAAAATAAAAAATTGAGATAATAAAAGATCAGCTTTCTCTCTTTTTTTTTGTGAACACTAAATTTAGCTTAGAAATATAAAGAGATATTTTATTTTAGAAATATAAAGTTAAACGTAGAGGCTTTGATAATTGATAACAGAAATTAATAGAAAAGATATTAATGATAGAATGAATAAAAGTCATTAGTAATGATAAAACTAATGAGATCGCTAGATCTTAATTTAGACTTATGAAATGAACCTGAGTTTATAAAATAATAAGATCATTTTTAAGCTGATAATCTATCGATAATCAAATGCAGTATTTGTAGGAATACCTGTATATCGTGATGCAGCACTTGCATGCAGCATTCTTCATAAATGCTTAGCAACTGGAAAATTCCGCATGCACGAATGCATGCTTCAACATATTCGAAATGACAAAGAGCAAACTTTTTCAGATCATCCATGTTACCTAATTAAATTTTAATAACTTTCATCAAAAATTATGAAAACATCCATCAATAAATTAATGCTACAAAAATAATATTACTTTTAACTAAAGCTTACAATTACTTTGTTTTTTCAACTTCCAAGTAATTTCAAAAAAAAAAAGAAAAAAAAAAGAGAAAATTAATACTTTATGGAATAATTCGAGCATTTGAGGTAAAAATAAAATAATTTACCGGTATGGAGTAGATGATACCATAAATTATGCACTTTTCGTATGTTTACCGTGCCATCATCTTGTTTTAATGGTCGTGGAAATGTTGGAATTTCATTTGATGAAGGTAATAATGAACAAATCGAATGAACATTGTTAACATCAGCAAATAAATGGGCAATTAATCCATGAGCTTTTATTAATTCCTTCTGGAATAACAGAACATTTAATATTATATTTTAAGCATAATTATCGCAGTTCAATTATTAATCTATAACATTCAAAAAATATGCTATAAATTAGCGATAATTATCACATTCAAACTATAATCATCAAGTCAGCCAATGAGAAATTGTTTTATTATATTTAGAAATGTTTTATCACTAGATAAAATGAACTTAGAAAAAGCTTTTTCTTGAAAGTTAAAATTTGTTTAGCTAATTAAAATTTTTTGAACTATTTTACTGTATGCAAGATAGACCTGATTAGTCAAATAACGACGACGAGCTATATTTATAATGAATAAATGACTCCATTTGTAAACAAGACGATTTCCATACACAAATTCAACAATAAGGCATCCTAAATTTTACTTTTTTAAAAAATAAAAAAAGTTATACAGTATGAAATCTTAACATGTAATATAAAAAAGAAAAAGTACTAGAAGTTTGAAGTATTTTTTTTTTTTTAATTTGGGAAATATGTGAGTGAGTATGATTCAAACCTTAATTGCCAAAATTGTAGATGATAACTGATCAGTTTAACCGTTCCGCTATATCAGACAAACAAAATGGATGTAAAAACGAAAAAAGAAAAATGATCGAACAAATATATGTAAACCGAGTTTATCAATAATTGAATGAAGCCGTAATGATAATGACGAATTCGGAGTAATTTCATCATTCAATTCATCGTTCATCGTTAATGCATCCAAAATTTCCAAAGTGGTAAGCCCATGTGGCGTAACTATTAAAAGTTGCGCAAATGTTCGTACAAACAAAACACCGTTATCATTTTCAGCGTGACAAAAACGTTCATCAATATCACCAACAAGTGGACGATTAGTTCCATCAGTAATTTGTTTTAGTAATAATTGAGCAATAATAATGTTATTGTTATTAGCTTCTGTCTGAAAACAAATTTTACCTATCTTTTCATTTGATGTGACAAATTTAAATTGGAAAGTTTGAATTAAATCTAAAAAATGAAATCCTTCAAATTAAAAATAAAACAATTACAAAAAAAAAGACGTACAATATCCTGAATTTCATCCATTTGTTGCTTGTTCAGTGTATTATTATCGATATTTAAATTAATATATTGCATGATGTCTACGTTTGTAAAATCAGGTAATTCAAACAGGACAGGTTGCTGAAGCATAAATCGTATTGCTATCGGATGATCTGTTGTGCATATTAAAACAAGATTAGCTAAACATTTCCGGAATTGTTGATCTAAATTACTCATCATTCGTCCGTATTTGATCATATTAGCATCATCGATTAATATAAATACCGGTCGATTTAACTTTTCCAGCAATGATTTCAATATAACAAGTGTTGATGATAAATGATATGATTTTATCAATGGTTCTGCATCTTGACCTGTTAGGGCGCATAATGTCATACATATTCCATGCCACAATTCATGCGCATATTCTGATCCAACTGTTAAATTAATAAACCTTAAAATGGCAAATGTTACAAAAAAAAAAAAAAACTTTTTGAAGCAAATTTATTTACAGTTTATTCTATTCAAAATGTTTACTTTAAACAATAATTTAAACTGAATAAAGTGTTATTTATTTAACATTAAAAAAAAAAGATTTTCTAATTTCGTACCTGATAATAACATAGTGACCTTTTTTATTTAATATCGCATATAATTGGCATAGAAAAGCAGTCTTTCCAGAAGTTTGATTTCCTCGAATATTAAAACATCCTTTGCTTTTATTACTCCAAATATCAAACATCTTATCGATATTCTCTCGAACCAGCCATTTCTTCGGTAATTGTCGTTCAGCAAATGCAACATGTACATCATTTTCAATTTTTGCTAGAGAATATGCTTCAATTGATGGCATTGGTGGCATACTTAATGTGGAAACAAAATTTTGCAAATGATCTGTTACCTGTAAATAAAAGTAACAAAGAACAAAAAAATTAGAAAAGTAAAATAATTCCTGTAAAATTATGCAACATATTTCACAAAATTATTTAATCTTCTCTTTTTTTAAATGATTACTTTTAATTGCTCAAATACAATTAATTTTTTCATATGACAAACACAAAATTTATTTTCAAAGTCTTTCCTTTTTTTCTTTTTTCTCAATGATTTTACAAATACTTTAAGTTTAAATTACACCCTTTTTTTTTTAAACGCAAAAAAGAGAAAGAAAAAAAAAAGGAAAGGCTAACCTGTTTTATAAACCATTTAATATAATTATTATTCTTTCGGCCAATAAACTGTGATTTGTCATCTGTACTTTCATCTGATTCCATATTTAATGAAATTATCGATGCTTCACTTAACAGAACTGTTTGCTTCAATGCCTCAATTTTTCTATGCTCACTTTCCATATCGACTTGTTTTGCTGTATCAGTACTGTTTTTTGACTGTATATCGGCTATAAATATTAAGCATATTTCAATCTCTAATCAGTTTTTGAAACTAAAATTTTTTTTTGGAAAATAATTAAGCAATTAAAAAAAATAACCTTTTGTGTTCCGCAAACAAAATACAACTTTGTTTGGTTGAATTAATGCTATTTGAGTAATTTGTTCTGCAGCAGATGGAAAAAGATTTCGAGGTATTTCTGATTGTTGTTGTTGCTGCTGCTGCTGCTCATTATTATCATTTTGTGATATCTGAAAGAAAACAGTTATATCATTTATTCATTTTATTTCTTCTATAAAAATGATCGATCAAGTTATTCATTAGAATGCAATAAGCAATTGCTAGTTTTTTTTTTTTAATTTAAACAATTTCCAATTGAAAATTGATTGGATAAAAAAAAGATTGAAAAACCTTTTCAGTAGCCTGTTGTAAAATTGATGTGAGCGTATTTCGATCAGCTGAATTGATGGGCTCATTCAGAAGCTTATAGTCTGTTGATTCCATTTCTTCACATCGTTTGTAATATTGATAAAATAGCTCAAGTTCTATAAAAAGAGCTCTTTATCTTATTATTCAATTAAATATAAAAAAGATAAACTTCTGAATTTCATCGTCAGTTTCAGGTAAATTTTTTTAATTAAATCATAATTGTACCCAAGACATACCGTTACTTTTTTCTGAAAATGCTGCTTGGATTGCTTGAAATTTTTCCAATGGTATTTTCTTCGGTAAAATACATTTCCCATATCGATCACCCAGGAAGCACTGAAAATATTAAATTAATTAACATAATTAATTAAACATTTCAAAATTTAATTCAAAAAAATTAAATTCGTTCCATCAAATTTTTTCAATCATTTAACATGAAGCTTATAATAGCAACCATAAGATATGATGTATGCTTCGAGAATACATTGAGCATAGCCTGGAAAGTTTCCATATCCAAGCTGTCAGTAACTGGCTCCACAAATTCCACATCAACACCAAGTTGCAAAGCATAATGTTGTACATCTATTGCGACATCTTTCACTAATGCTTGATATTCTCGTTCAAATTCTGATAAAAATGAAATAAATTTTACAAAATTAAAATTAAAATTTTTAAAACTAGAATTATTCGTTATAACTGGAAAATCATTAGTGTCAATTATCCAAAAAGTAAAAAGTCGTCATCATTCCAAATTTGACAGGAATTCAGTAAACTTAAAGTGCGCAATTATTCAATGCAGATGAATTTTGTGAAAGATTTATATTCTTAATTATCAGCAAATTATATTGTTTAATCTTTTTCATTTCTTAACCTAGCAAATCAACCGGTAAATCAATAATTATAAAATTTAATTATATATCAACGAAATATTTATGTAATTTGATTTCATATCAATTATGATAAATACGCATAAATTATTAGACAAAAAAAAAAGCACACAAAAGCAGTAATCCATGAAATATACCTTTCAAAGAAGGAAAGAAAAATATGATACGAGCTTGTTGTAAAGTTTTTCCGGAATATTTAGATTGCTGCAATTCTTTATCATTGATATCATCCCTGGGATGCACATAGGTCACCTCGGACACAGCATTGAGACGAAACATGGAAGCTACTGATAATCACACCATATAGTTCAACCAACCCCGTGACCATAGCAACATTAACATCTGTAAAAAAGGAAAAAAAAAAGGAGAAAAAAAATGAAACAAAAAATGAAGTCTTTTTTTGTTTCATTTTTTCTAAGTTAATTATAATTTAGTAAAATTTTAATGCTTCCTTGAAATAACCTTTTCATCAAAGTTAGCAGCGGGATTTTTTCCCGATAAACGAATCATTTGAATGAACAACTAATGCTTAGCATTTAAGGAAGCATTAAAATTTTATTGGCAAAAAAATTTCATTAAATTATAATTAATTTTATAGCGCAACTGAATGACAATGATGTTAAGGTTAACAAAACTTTTCTTGAAATAATTTTAAAAAATTCAGACAAAAAAATTTCGCCTCTTTTATTCGTGAATTTTTCAGCATCACACTAGTTAGCAGACAATAAAGAAGATAAGTTAGAAAAAAATTGTTTACTTAGCTTGTGAGCATATCCAATTAATTTATTTCCTAATATGTTGTCCAATACAAACTCGAAATTCCATCCAAAACTCTCAAAATTAATCTCTAACTAAAAACAATTATATCTGTAAATAATAAAATGATGCTCGTCGATGCTCATGAAAATTTCTTAATGAATCATTACTTGTAATCAGTGTAAACGAATCTTTCAATGTTTCCTGAAAGCAACACTTTCCCATCATAAAAATGTTTTGTATGTGACTGTTGTCTTAGATGTTCCCTTTTTTCTTCTAATAGGCTAATTTAGCCATTCCAACCAAATGATTAATCTTGTATTGCTTACAAATTCTTTGTAAAAAACTATTAGTTCTCATCGTGATCTCGATCTCCAATCAAATTGTAACCTAGCATCTCCCAATAATCAGCCTTTAAGAGGCGCTATTATCATATGTCAAGGAGCTCCTCACTTGGCTCAT